TGCCCATTAAGGCTTCGCAACCGTTGGTTGGGCTGACACAACTCCGGGTGGAATGGGGCACGTGGCGAATCCGGGTACCAAAGGACAAGGAAAGGTCGCCCTGAAGCAATCCCTCACGGTAGTTCCAGGGCGGCCGACACCATATCGACCGTAAAAAAAAAAAGAGGTTTATCCCCCCCCAAACATGCCGTCCACCGAAAAAAGGTAAGAGGATGAATGGGTGAGGCGGGTACCGTAAATTCTCCTATACTATACTACCTATATATAAATTTAAACAGTACTTATCTTAAAAAAAAAATATTATGATCTGTTCATTTTTCAGAAAGTTATAGCTTTATAAAGTTAAAATTAAAAATGAATTTTTTTACAAAAATCATATATTCTTTATTCATTTTGGTACCTGTTTCTTCCTAGAAGACTAAAATAAAGTTCTAATTTTTTTTTTTTCATAATAAAGTATATTACATTAGCTTTAATTCTAGAGTTTCCGAAACACTTTCAAAAGTTAATTTTTTGTGAAAAAGTTGCCATATTGAATCCCCCCTGTAGAGGTAAAGGGTCAAATTTACAAAAAAAATATACAAAATGATAAGTAAATACCTTATGTATCTATAAAAAGAAAATTTCTATTTTATAATTTTTAAAAGAGTTATGGAAATTTCAATTAAAAAAATTGAAAAAATGACGAAAATTATGGTTTTTTAAGTTTGTAATTATTTTGGAAATTTCCTCCGTTTTCGGGGAACGAGGGAAATTCATTCGATTTTTAATATAATGTCTTCGACTAGATACGATTTGTGATCTTTTGACGTATCATTAAAAGAAATCGGTGTAGTAAGAGCTGAAAAATATTGGTAACAGACACAAATAAAAAAAAACCACAGAATTATAGTCGTAAAATTGATATTTGAGAAAAAAGTTCTGAATGCAACTAGTGCTTATGTACCACAAATAGGATGTGATGAAATAGACAAAGAATTTTTTTAGAGAGTGTTGTATAAGGTCCTGGAATTCACTGTATCCTATGATCTTGCTGTCCTTAATACTTATTTTAGAAAGAGGGAAGAACATTTTATAACTTATAAAAGTGGGAAGAGTAGATCACAGATTGATTATTATATGTGGAAGAGAGAGAGGATAAAGCGAATAAAGGATTGTAAATTTATACCGGGCGAGAGTGTAACAACACAACATAGACTAAAGGTAATGAAGTTGTGATGTACCTGAAAGAGGTTAACAAAAATAGAAGAAACACGGTTGAAAAATAGAAGATTCGTTGGTGGAAATTGAAAGGGAAAAATGTAAAAGAATTTGTGAAGGCGGCAAAAGAGAGGATGGTGTGGAATTTTGAGGGAGATATAAATGATGTGTGGAATAGATTTGCTAGTTGTTTAAAGAATACTGCAAAGGAGATTGTTGGTGAGAGTAGGAGTAGAATGCCAAGAAACAAGGAAACCTGGTGGTGGAATGAGGACGTTTAAAAAATCATAGAAAGTAAGAAAAAGCAATTCAAAGTATGGCAGAAGAGCAAAAGGAGAGAAGACTGGATGGAGTATAAACATTTGTGCAAAGAAGCCAAGTGTGCAGTAAGTATGGCAAAGTTTAAGAATTATGCTGAGTTGTATGATAGGCTAGGAACAAAGGCGAGAAAGAAATGTATAGTCTTGCAAAGATAAGAGAGAAAAGGTCTAAAGATTATCATTATATAAGGTGAATAAAAAATGTTTAGAATAAGGTACTTTCGAGTGATAAAGATGTGAAAAAAAGGTGGAAAAAGTATTTTGAAAAATTAGTGAATGAGGAGTACCCAAAAGAGACATTAGAGGATATTTCGTGGAATGACGGACTGGTAGATTTATTTAGTGAAAAAGAGGCATGGGAGGCTGTGGCATCAATTAAGGAGAATAAAACAGATGAAATGCCAGTAGAAGTATGGAAAATATTAGGCGATATTGGCATAAGGTGGAGAACTGTAAGAACAGTTATAGAAATGAATGTTCAAGTAAGAAGAAAGAGGAAGACCAAAAAAGAGATGGAGAGATGCTCTTGAATGCGATTTGAGGACAGCTGATGTGAGCATAAATGATGAGGGAGATCGTGTCAAGTGAAAGTTTAGGATAAGAATGGCCGACCCCACGTAGTTGGGATTAAGGCGAGGAAGAAGAAGTATTTTAATAAAGATCAAGGATGCCATCACTGAAGTCGCCACTCGCGAGAAGAATTTTTTTATTCATATTAAAATTCTATTACTATATTTTAAGTTTTAGCTACGATGCAAAGCTGAGAAGATATTTTTTTGTGACTATCATATATTTTCTCTAACTTGACCTACTTTTTTCAACGATACGTCAAATGACTACAATTCGTATCTAGTTGAAGATATTACCCATATAAATATAAAAAAATTCTAATTTATCAATGAAACAATTACTTATCCCATGTTCTCCATACAGACAATTAAAATCATTCATTTCTAATGTTTTCAAAGTATTTATTGATAAATCATGTTTGATATGATAGGTTTCAAATACAAAATTAAATCATTTTTATTTTCTATTTGTGTATGCTACTACTAGACTATAATATTCCAAATTTGTTGATAACATGTTGCTATATAAAACATTTCTAAAAAAAATGATTGTTAGTTTCTCCTGAATTAACAAATATAATCAAATTTTATAATACGCTCAACTGAGTAAATATTTTTAACAACTTTGTTTTGATTGGTTCATTTAGTTAAAGTAAATCATTAAAATTAATTAAGTTCTGAATATTTCAATTGCAGAATCTTTTTAAACACCAAAAGTTATAAGGAAATGATTACTATTACGATAAAAATACAAAAAAAAATTGAGCTATTCTGATAAATTTACTATAAATATTATTTATAAAACATCCGAACTGCATATTAATTTTAACAATACAATTTTTTTAATTCTCATAAAATTATCTATTTAATGATGTCAATTTCAAACTTGTCAATTGACCTAAAAGTTATGGTTAAATAAATTAATTTTTTTTTACTATAAACTTTCACAAAAATCAACTTTAAACGATTAAAAAATATGTTAAATATCATTTTTCTTATTTTTAATATATTAATAATCATAATTAGTATTAATTGAAAACAATTTTTTTTTGTTCTTAATTACTTTTTTTTAAATGTAAAAACTTATTTTTTAATAATAAGTAATAATATTAAAACTTAGAAGTAATAGAAATAGTTTAATTGCACATTTCATCATATCGCGAAAAGTTTATTTAAAAAAGTACATTTTTGTTTCTGATGAAAGTTCTTTGTAGTCTAGTGTATTTATTCATAAGTAACAAAATTTTTTTATAAAAAGTATTGCATGAATCCCTTTAAATTTTTATACGCGTTAAAAGTATATGAATATAAAACTTCTTTTTATTTTTATAATATCTCCGTAAAAATTACAATATTATACTATTGAATATCAATTCATACTAAATTTAATTACTATAATTATTATGTATTCATATATTATAATTATAAATCGGGATAAAATTAAGGGAATAAGAGTTATGGTTGCTTTTGAAATAATCTACCAATCTCTTAAAATTAAACACTATCTACAGATATGCATCGAAGTATTTCTAATGAGAGTGATTTTAATTACTGCCAGATATCATCTATACTTGTCCCGTCTATGCCTCGTCCACTGTAAGGAATTAAAATAGAAGTTTCGAAATTATTCGAGAAACTTCTAGAATAATCATAACACGTAAATAATTTTCAATTTTAAATACCTTTCTGACCGGCTATTATTTTATTACTTTTTACAAATACATCGTTCATTTGGAGCGATGTTTACATTAATGTCCATCTTTTTAATACCATAAGCGTATCTGTGGTGCCAAACAGACAGCAGGATTAAATAGTTAAATTTTTAGGAAAAACTAGCCTCCCTTCATCACCTTACCAACAGTTTAATATAAAAGGGCTAGTAAAATTACACTCTCTCGTACACTCTTTCACTTGCATACTCTCATTTTCATGTCAAAAGTTAATAATGTAAAATTTATGTTAATCTTAATTATAAAACTTACATTTGTTAAAATAATTAATTAAAATCATAGAAATAAACTCAGTATGTTTTCCCTCATACCAGTGTTTGTATTTATTTAAATTAACTTAAAATATCGACGTCAACAAGGAACATCACAATTCACCATCTACCTACGAGTTCATTTGGATATCAAGGTAAGTGTAGTCGTAAGACATGCACTATATTCATGTAATATTAAGAAATAGGACAGAGTAGGTAAGAGGTAGGATTAAGATGATATGAATGAATCTAACACAATCCAAATAACTTATAACCCCTTTCCTACCATCTTCACCACATCTTTAGCATCCCTCTCTTCCCCTTTCTCTTTTTTATTTATTACACCACACTGTGCCGCGACCCCACTGTGATGCGACCTTACTGTGCTACCGTTTTTTTTTTTGTGTGTGTCTGTTACCACTTTTTCTCAGCTCTCACTGAGCCGATTTGTTTCAACGATGAAGTCAACAGATCACAAAATGTATCTAGTCGAAGACATTAGTCTCGAAAATTTAAAAAAATTCCCTCGTTTCTTGTAAATGGAGGAAATCTCCAAAAAAAGACATTTTGATAAATCGCTAATTTTCATTATTTTTCAATTTTTTTTCTTAAAATTTCCATAACTCTTTTAAAAATGATAAAATAGAAATTTCTTTTTTTAAAGATACATAAAGTATCCATAATAATCCTTTCATTTTTTAAAATTAAACATTGTCTACAGATTTGCATCAAAGTGATTTTTATGATAGTTATTTTAATCACTGTTAGATATCAATTATATTGGAAAAATCATCTTTTTTAAATTTTAAGTAAAATTAAAAAATTTAAATGTTCCATAAGATATAATTTGTCCAAAATGTTGAATATTAAAAATTAAGGAATTGAAAATAATATTTAATACACTTTAAAGGTCTTTAGATAAATACTTACTTATAAATCGAGAATTGTCGTCTAAAAAAGTATATAAACACTGAATAATCTATGTATTCTGTATACATATAATATGTTAAATAAAAATTAATAGACATTGGATATTAATTTATAACGTAAAACAATACTTTTTTTTTTATGACCGTCATTATTGAGGGCCGCCTCAGAACTGCCATTCTTTACTTCAGGACAACCCATGACGTCTCTATAATTCACACAAGCACGTTGTGAATAAGTTCTGAGTTAATCAAGAGCTGATTCGCAACGTGGTTCCCCTTCCATTAGACGTAATCCAGAGTTGGAACCGTTTGGGAGGGTTGGCAAAATAACTCGCAAAGTATAAATAACACAAAAACATGAACCTAAGGCACCGGACTAAACCAGGGTCTCAGGTCCTCTTGTGTCAGGCGTTTCACTTCTTCTTTCTTTTTCAAGACAGTTTCAGCGAACGCCTGGACGAGCTTCCACACCTCCTGGCTCACCAACATCAGGTCCACCATGGACCCGACTCGGAACGTAGACCCTAGTCGAGACATTAAAGAGCCTCGCTCCCGGGCCAATGCCTCGCACCAAGAGAGTGTACAAGGCGCTGTCTACCTCACTACGACAATCCAAACAATAGTTGCACGTCGGCGCGACTGATTTACGAATACGATGCAGGTACTCGATAAAACAGCAGTGGCCGGACATCAATTACGTGTCATTTTACCGAAAGTCCAGTCCATCAAACTATACAATCGAACGGGTCCGATGTAACCTGAGAAGGTCTTCACGATTTTTGGATGAATACTCAAGTGTATCCGCTCAAACCGGGGATCCGTACAGAAGAAACAAGTGTACGACGCTGACTAAGGTTTTGTGCCACATCTCCCAGATCACAGATTGGGCATGAGTCCCGCCAGACTGTTAATGACTTTCTGGGCCCGCTGGCCAGAATGGGTATATTGTGACCCAAACTTTAGACCTATGTCTATGACCAGGCCCAGATGAGTGTCTTTAAGCAGAATCTCCACTCCCAGCATTACTAGCCATTGAGGAGTAACCTTGTATCTACATGTGAACAGGACCGCTTCGTTCTTATCCAGAGCGAGGCTCAGTCCACTCCCCTCCTACATGATCCAGGCGGTGACTGCGCGCAGTTCGCACAAGATTCGCACGAGCCGGTCGTCTGTTAAGAAGATCACGTGCGCGTGCGGTAGTAGTGGAACGCGGAACCCACGTTGTACTGGATGTACCATAGCAGAAGCCCGAGAACCGACCCTTTCGAAACGCCACCCGTTAGGGATTTAATTCTCAAGCTCGCGGCGCTCTCGTAAACGTAAAACAATACTTTTAAAACATAAATATGTTATTTTTTAAATGTATACAGGAAAAATTAGCCTCTAACTTGAAATTATATGACATCTAAATAACAAATTCTATGTATTTTAATTCCATTTTCCCCTCTTACCAATATTATCTGGAATTGTATTGATGTCTAAATAACAAATAAGTTAAAACAATTTACTTTAAATATTATCCAGCGTATATAAATCAAATAAATTATTATTTACTTCTCATAACTTCGCCGAAGTCATTATCTAAAAACAAATACATTTTATGTTAATTTTTTTTGGATAATAAACTTTTCTTTGGTATTCATAGTATGAAAGTAAAGAACTATTCTTCCACAATGAGAAATTGGTCATCAAATTGGAAATTCATAAACAAAAATATTTCTAATAAAAATTAGCCTTTAACTTAAAATCACATTAAGATCTAAATAAAAAATTCTATTTATATTAAATTAATTTCCATTTCTTACCACTATAAATTGAATCCCTATTGATATCTAAATAACAAATGGGTTAAAATAATAATTTTTAGTAATATCCAGTGGATATAAATAAAATTATTATTTACTTCTCATAGACTCCGCCAAGGTATTTACTAAAAAATTATATTATATGTTTTATTTTATATGTACGAACTTATTTGTTCAAATTTTTAAATGTATAAATATGTGCTATTTTACTCACAATCGTTAGATACTTCAAATGTGATAATTGATGTTCCTAAGAAATACAATATGTTACTTTTAAATATTTTAACTTAAAACAATAACTATCATAACATAAATATAAAATTTCATATCGAAAAATGTAAAATTTTGTGTCGTCATTGAAATAGCAATAATAATGAGTTAAACGTAAAATATTATTAAATATTATACTTAAGTTTTAATGTTTTTACTAATAACATTACAATTTGAAGAAATAAATTTTATAACGTTTAAACAAAGTAATAGTTTATGTTGAATAAACTCAATTTTAATTCCTTTACTAGGATTATTATGTGTTATTGTGATTACGAATACCCAATATCCATAATTATTTTAAAAATGTGTAATCTTTGTAGCAATATGGTGACAACGAAGATCGTGACTCTTTGTATTATATTGTTATGTTGTACGGTCATCATTTTAATTTGTTTCGAGTGTTATTGTTATAATAAACACCATTATTATTATTGTTTGCAAATAACTCAAAAATAACGATTTTTCAGTTATGAACGACAGTCAACGCCATAACTGTAGCGAACAAACCATACGTTAACTTTATTAGTTGTAATTGAATATTCTATAATTCTACATCTATATACATCGAATAGGTTGAATAGGAATGGGATATTTATTAATAAAGAAAAACGATATTTAATAAAATATAAATATGTTATTCTCAAACGTTATATTTTTAATTTTACGTAAGAAACATTAGCCTCTAATATGAAGCCATATTGAGATCTAAATAATAAATTCTATGTATGTTAATTACATTATTCCCTCTTACCAGTTATATCTGTAATGGCATCGATAACTAAATAACAAATAAGTTAAAATAAAATATTTTTAGAACTGTCCAATGCATATAAATTATCAAATTATTATTTACAATTTAAATCTCCGAGCATTTCATCAACTAAAATAAATTACATTTTATGATTAATTTTATATGTACAAAATTCTATATGCTTAAACGTAATTTTATTGAATATCTCATAATAAACTTGCCAAAAAAGTAATTTTTTTAAGGAAATTTCTGCCTATTAATAACATTTAGTCATTCTTCGATTTTGAAAAAGTTTCAGAAATTCTGACGTCTTTAAATTGAGTCTTATACTTATTTACTTTACATAAATAGTAAAATTTCCTGCATGTGATACCGAAATAGGTAACGGGTGTGACAATTATATTAAATATACGCGTACTCCAGTTATGTGGATGAGTAGCCTGAAGGACATCAGATATCGTCTCAGGTAAGTATGTAATCACTAAGATCGTGATACTGAAGCCCGTCCACGTCCTCCATCACCACACATGGTGTAGGATCCTCCTTTAACGGGGGTTGCCGTATGGCTAACGACCTCACGCGTAAAAACAATAAATTGCTAAGAAACAGCTAACCATGCCTCGGATGTATAATAGATTTACAGACTTAACAATTGAAATTTGGAATGTGCGATCTCTCTACAGGACCGGCGCTTTGACAATAGTCTTATCGGATCTTGACCGATATAGATTGACGATTACAGTTATTCAAGAAGTAAGATGGACTGGCACAGGACACCCAAAGACAGAGAAACATACAGTATTCTACAGTGGAGGAACCAAACATGAGAAAGGAGTTGGCTTCATAGTAAGTGATCAAGTACTACAAAATGTTAAGAGATTTGAAGCCATCAATGATAGAATTTGCTACCTAGAAATACAATGTATATGTTTTAAAATAATATTAGTTAACTGTTATGGGCCTACGGAAGACAAGGATGAAGACCAAAAAAGTGAATTCTATGATGATATAGAAAGAGTCTATACCACAATTTCAAATTACCATATAAAATAATTCTTGGAGACTTTCAAGCCAAAATTGGAAAGGAACCAACTCTCAAACGGACCATAGGAAATTGAAAAAGAAAAGATTTGGAAAAGAAAGTTTACACGAAACGTCTGACGACAATGGGGAAAGGCTAATAAATTTAAGCTTAGCATCAAACATGTGGAAGTTCGGACCAATTCTAAAATAAAAAGGCCAAAATCAAAAGAAGATTAGCAGTTAGAAAGAGAGAAGAAAAATTTTTTAAAAAGCAATTTAATATAAAAGAATTAAAAAATCCAGAAAAAGTCAATAATTCAGAGAAAATATTGTACAAAATATATAACGACAAGAAGGAAGAAAGGAAGATAATGTCGAAATTCTATGGACAAACTTAGAACAAACATTAAAAAGCACAGCGAAGGAAACACTGGGTTTCAAAATGAAAGAAATGAAAAAGAATAAATGGTTTGACATTGACTGCAAAATGGCTTTAAAAGAACGAGATAGGGCTCGCCTTATAATGCTAAGAGATCCAAAGGAAGAAAATAAAATCCAATTGGCTAAAATACAACAAGAAGCAAAAAAGACCTTAAGAACAAAAAAAAAAGACAATGAGAAAAACACAAAATTGAACAAATTGAAAACAATTACAGGAGTAATCCAAAAATTTTCTTCGGAGGAGTAAACGAGATTAAGATAGGTTTCAAACAAAGGACAACTATGGTAAAAAACGATGATGGAACATTAATAACAAATTCGAATGAAGTAGTCGATAAATTCAAAAGCACCTTTGCAGAATTACTAAACAAGAAGAATAGGGAAACAGTAGTACCTGAACCAGATGTTATAATAAAACAAAATCTGATCGAACCAACAGATGAAGAGGTAGATAGAGCCATACAAATACTCAAAAATGGAAAATCGCCAGGAGAGGATGATATAGCCTTCAGAAATCCCCAAAAAAAAGGAGGTCAAGCTTTAGTACAACGATATAATAATTCGAAAAATATGGAAGAAAGAAACATTGCCGGTACAATGGAATACTTCTATCTTATGTCTAATATATAAAAAAAGAGAGATGCTTTGAATTGCAGAAATTACAGGGGAATATCTTTGCTCTGTACTGCGTACAAGATACTAACAAATGTATTATTAAACAGGCTAATACCCTAAGCACAAGAAATAGTAGGAGAATATCAAGAAGGATTCACTAAAGGAAAATCTAGAGTGAACCAAATTCACAAAGCAAAACAACTAATGGAGAAAAGTTACAAATTAAATTAAGACTTATTTATCCTATTCATTGTCTATAAACAAGCTTATGACTCAATCATGAGAGAATCCTTGTGGGTTGTGATGCTAAAATTTGGAATACCGGAGAAAATGGTAAAATTAATACAAACCTGTAATACAATTTCTAAATGTAGGATTAGATACAATCAACAAATGTCGGAAGAATTCAATGTAGAAAATGGTTTAAGACAAGGTGATGCACTTTCTCCTATGCTATTTTATATAGCACTAGAATATGTAGTAAGATCTGTCCTAGAACTCAATACAGGAGTATAAAATTCATGAAAACACAGAAGTAACTATAGTAGCATACGTAGATGATATGATAGTAGCTGAATCAGAAGCAAATCTAAAAAACGACAACATCAAGTTTGATCGGGCGCCCAGACTGACAGCCAGAAGTGCGCCCTGAAGGAGCATTATGTGCGGGTCCACCATCCAGTGATGCCCGTGCCCGTCATGCTCCTCGAAGTGGAGGAATGGACGGAGGAGGTGACGGGTAGAGTGCACAACTGGACGCCCTCCGCCGTCTAGAGGACAAGGTGCTGCTGGAAATCGGGCCTGTGGTGGTCCGTGTGAACTCCGGCGGCAAAGGTTGGTGCGCCCATGTGCGGGGCCAATTTTAAAGGCCCCAAAGACAAAATTGGGGCCTGGTAAAAAGACTCCCCCCGAGAGGATGTCGGGTGGAAAGGCCGAGGGGTCTTCCAAAGCGCAGCCCGCTAGTGAATGGGATTCCTTCAAACGAATCTCAACCACTGTCGGGCTGTCCAGGACCTGGTCCGGCGGGTGGCATACGAAATGGGCACCGACGTGTGCATCATCTCGGATCGTACGCCGGATTGGTCCGGGACTCTGCCGGTCGGTTTTTGGACCGGTCCGGTAGAGCGGCGATCGCACTTCCCGATCTGGGGGTCGGCGGACACCAATCAGTGTGGCGAAGACCTGTTGGACCTGATGTCGGGCTGGTCTCGGCCAACAGGGGCTCCACCCCGACGTTTGAGGGTCACTCTTCGAGCTCGGTGGTGGACGTCATGCTAGTGTCCCCGTCGCTGCACCCACACGTGACCGGTTGGTCGGTTCTCCCGTACAGGGAAAACCTGAGCGTCCACGGAAATCGTCCCCCGCGAGACGAGCACCGCGCGCCGAACCATGGCGGGCGAGTGAGCTGGCGGGTTACGGATGTCAACGCATTTGAGACAGGCTTACTGCTCGCTCAATGGTCGGCGCCCGCGGTACCGGACCGGCAAGTCCCCGCGAGTGAAGCGGTGGAAGAGTTGGACCGGGGGTTGGTCGCAGCATGCGACTTCGCCATTCCGGCCAAACCACCGCCGTCGACTCGTGGACCGCCAGTCCACTGGTGTAATGAGGAGGAGCCGGCTAGGCGGGAGGAGTGCGTCAGGGTCAGGCGGGTCATGACGCGCTTCAACCGATGGCCTGGTGATCCGGAATTCCCGCACCCAAGGGAGGCGCTGAGGGCAGCACGTAAAGAGCTGAAGCTCGCCATAAGGTGGATCAAAGCGAAGTGCTGGGCCGAAATTGTGAAGTTGGTGGACCACGACCCGTGAGGGAAACCCTATCGGGTCATCATGTGGAAACTCCGCGGTCCACCGTCTTCGGGTCAGATAAAGGTGGAAGTGTCGGAAAAAATGGTAGATATACTTTTTCCGACACATCCGCCCCTGCCTCCCTCTTTTTTTTTTACAAATCGTAAAGTTTAGTTATATGAATTGTTTACAAAAAAATATTTTTAATAAGGACATTTTTTACAAATTAGTGTCTAATCCATAGTTAAATGATGTGGAAAAGGTATACTTCTTCTCATTAAAAAAACTTGACGACAGTACAGCTGCCAATAGATTACAATAATATTACACGACAATTATTATTTAAGCCTAAAAAATTCTCTTATATAAATAGTCCAATATTGCTTCTTAAGTACTTACTTATTTCTTGAAGAGTCCTATTGTTATCTAAATATCAAAAAAGTTAAAATAAAATATTTTAGTAATATCCTCTGAATAAATGGATAAATAGATTAACTTCTAAATAAGTTAACCAAACCAGTAATATTTACTTGTGTCACCTATGTGCAAGTTACTTAATAAAAATAAAAATTCACATTATGTGTAAAATATTTAATATGTTTGAACATAATTTTTGCAGAAAGATTTATGCATATTGAAAATATTATTTCTTTCATAGATTTTGAAAATTTTTCAGAAATTCAGACATGTTTATTTAGAGTCACTCTTAAAGTTTATTTAATACACTGAATGTTGAAATAATTAAAGAGTAAAATATAGGAATAGAATACGATTTTTGTATACAAATCGTAAAGTTATGTTATTTTAATTGTTGATTTTATTCATCAAAATATACTTTGACATTGTGTGCCTTAAAGCGTTCCATTACATGTATGTGATAATTTGGAAATATTTTTAGCTTCGATGCAAAGCTGAGAAGATATTATTTTACTATGGTGTGTTTTTATTGTGTCTATTGCCACATTATCTTATCTCTCACTGCATTAATTTCTTTCAATAATAATTTAAATATCACAAGTCGTATCTAGTTTAAGACCTTGAAAATTGAAAAAATTTCCCTTGTTCCCTGTAAATAGCGCAAATCCCCCCCAAAATTACGATTTGTAAATCTGTAAATTTTGACATTATTTCCTAAAAATTGTCATAACTTATTGAAAATAGATAAATAAAAAAAATGTTATTATATAAAAACTTTAGGTATTTCCTTTTATTTGATATCATATTTTAGAAAATCTAACCCTTTACATGCCCACAAGAGAGTATTGAAAATAACAAGTTTTTTACAAAACTGAACTTTTTCAACTTAACTTTTGAAAATGTTCTGGAAATACGGCGTCCTTTAAACATATGTTAAATTAAAGCTTATATTACGTACTGTAAATTAAAAAAAATTTGACAACATATCTTCTTCGTACAAACAGCTGCCGTATTTAAAATAATTATATTTTTGTATTAAAATTATAGTACATGATGTAAGCTTTAATTTAACTTATGTTTAGTAGTAAAACTGTTTAAGGTCAGGTGCTTTTGAGTTTTCCTATTAGTGATTATATTTTTTTTATTGTACCAGAATTTTCGGTACCCTTTATTTTGGATTAAGATTTTTATCACAAGTATTGTGTAATTTTAGATTATTCTTGTAATTTAGTTAAATTTTCGTTGTGTGACCTAGAAGAGCCGTTTTTGTCTACCAGTGATATGAATAGTGAAGTTAAATTAACTATGATTAAATTGTAAGATGATCCTATTATTGCACCTTAGTCTGAATTTGATTAGTATAAGTCTACTGTTCGCTGTTTGTTTGCAGTTATTCAATATGAAAGAACTTCATTTAGCATTAATCATTTTTCTGTCAGTCTACTCTTAGTGAGAGCATTATTCGTGAGACAGTTTATGGAATTCTTGGTCTTGGCTCTACTCAGAAGTCACAGTTTTTTGATGTTTTATATAATTACCATTCTGTGTTAAGTGACCGGCCTGGTCTTAATAATTTATATATCTGTAAATTTGATGTTACCAAATATGTGCCCTTAAAGATCAAACCTTATTCTATTCTTTTTTCACAGCGGTCTGCTGTTGAAAAAGAGCTGAATCGCTAATCCGATAATCTATATTAAAAAACAGATGGGCCTGTTCGTATATGTCTTGAAGCTCGTCGGGTAAATTCTATTATAGTTTCTATGTGTGATCTGTCTCCGACTTTGGTGAGATTTTGATTTGTTTCATTGGTAAACAATATTTTTCGTCGATTGATTTTTATTGGTAAGTTGGATTACATCCGTCCGTCCAAAAATATGTATCTTTCAGTCGGACATGACACTAAAATTTTCAAAATGTAATTTTTTTAAAAGTAAAATTAAGTTCCTCGGATATATAGTTATCCCGTGTATTTAATATCGTATTTTTAATTATTTGTGCCGATTTTAAACGGAAAATTGCCATTCCTAGATGTAATGGTAAAAAAACAGCCTAATGGGAAATTCGGCACAGGAGTGTATAGAAAAAGTACACATACAGATAGATATTTACATGCCGATTCACTCCATTGCCCCTCACAGAAAATGGGATTATTACACACAATGGCAACAAGAGCTGTCAGAATAGCTGATGAAAACCATGTGAATGAGGAAAAAACATACTTACGACAAGCACTAAAGAATAATGGGTACACAATTAAAAATATTAAATTTATAAATAATTAAATTATTTACCCAAATCTTTAATTTATACTGTTGTTGTAAAGTTTCACAAGTAATATGGTCATGCTGTAGCAAAGAAATAATTGGATGCTCATAAAGAATTTTGTACTTCAAATAACATGGATAAAATTGTTCGTCAGTTATTGTTAACCTGTGATATATGTTAGCGGAATACGCCTTCTAAATAGCGTATGGAAGGTCTTATGTAACATATCATGTCGGAAAATGTATTGGAGAAAGTACTAGTTGATATTTATGGGCCACTTCCCACTAGTTGAAATGAAGTGCACTATATTTTTATGGTGTTAGATCATTTTTCAAGATTTGTTCGTTTGTACCCGTTGAAAAAGGCCACGGTTTAAACTACCCTTAATCATATACATATGGATTACATCCCCTCTGATGGGAAACCCGAACAAATAGTTTCTGATCACAGCAAGCACTTTAGCAGCCATTTATAGCAATCCCGTTTATCTGACATTAGCATTCAACCTACACATACAAATGTATATCATCCGCTGTCCAATCCGTCTGAAAGAGTAATGCGTGAACTGGGACTTTTATTTAGGACGTATACCAATACCATACGAAATGGCCCCGGTATTTAACATATATTGAGTGGGTATTTCATAATACTGTCCATGAGTTAACTGGATTCACACCGTCTACTTTATTCAACAATTTAGAAGAGAAACCCCTTGTAATTAGTGTGATTGAATTTCCGTCATATTCAACAGTGCCTCAAGAGCGGAAACTTATTATGAATCGCGAAATTCAATGTTCGAAAGCTGAATAGCGTAAGCGTCGTCATGATCAATAAGGCCCCGCGGTATCGTTTGGTATTGACGATCAAGTTCTAGTGCGAACCCAAAAACTCAGCTCTGAAGTTCACAAGCTATTGGAAAATTCGTTTTGCTTTATGATGGTTCCTATTTGGTTTCTGAAGTGAAACAAACTAATTCTTATGTTGTAACTTGTCCATTAACAGGACGTTTGCAAAGGCACGTTTAATGTTGTTTTTCTAAGACGATATAAGTCAGCTGATTCTATGAACTGAGTTAATTTTTATTAGGTACTTTTTTTTACGTTTTCTCTCTTTTGAGAAATTTTGTTGTTTCACTCCAAATCTTCTCAGGGGGTTTCTGTAACGTGACAAAAATGCACCTCTTTTTTGTTTATTTGTATATATATATATATAATCTTAAGTATTTTCGTTGTGCCGAATACGTATTGCGATGACGTTTAATATTTTTTTGTTGGATAATTTGTAATAAGTTTATTCACGTTATCTGTGTTAGCTGTGTCATATATATACGAACAGATTAGCAGATTTCAAATTGTGTATATTCCACTCTCCACCCTTTCTAGTTCTCTAATGCACTGAACGCTACTAAATGTATCATTATATATTACATTGTCCAGTGTAGGATAAATAATTTTATTATCTTTATCTCTGTTAATTCCGAATAACCTTAACCTCTTTTCAAGGCACGACACTTCTAGGTGCCTCAATCGCTCTGAACGTTTTAATACGACAGTTTTCAGAGAGTAGCCATAGTCGGAATTGGTCATACTATTTCCCGTCCGTAGCAGTTGTGATTTTTTGTTGTGTGCGCTGCTAACAATTGTGTTTTTTTATATATTTTTCGTGAATGTCTGCTATATTAAATATGTAACTACAGTAGAAGTCGCTTAATAGAAACACTTTGGGACCAAGGAAAAATATGTCAATTAACCGATTGTTTCTAATAAGCGATTAGTTTAATTTGTACTATAAAAAAAATGAAAAATTTATAATTAATACATAAAAAGTCAAGCCTTATAAATTAATCAAATATTTTATTTAAAATACGTGTCTATCGAAGTTTGTTTTTTTTATTGAGTAACTCTATGACCATATTTTCATAGGAGTAGTGCTGCTCAAAGCCTTTTTCATCTGCACGGTGCTGGATTACTCTTCTGAGGACACTAAGAGCTTCTACAATTTCTATGTTTTCTGGGGATACCTCGTGGTGCATTGTTTATCGCCTGTTAACCGGTGTATATGTCAACCTAATTGTTACAAATAACCGATATGATGTTTCAATTATCCAATTTATTTTCAATGTTCTAATATACGGCCGGTCCGTCCCGAGACATTTTGTTTCAATAACGCGATTGTATCAATTATCCATGTTTCTAATAAGCGAATTCTATTGTATTTTTATTTTACGGCGTCATCTAAGCCTATCTCCTATTGTTTAGCTATTTTGGGTTGGTAATGTATATTTTTTTGTTAGAATTAGTTGAATCAATTATGTTTTTAGTGCACGATGCTATATGCACGTGTTGCAATTTTTTTATTTTATCATATTTAGATGTAAGTAAAAAATAAATATAGTTAAAAAAAACTAAAAACCACGCTTTTAAAACATAACGAACTAAAAAGTTCAAAATAAATTTTAAAATAAGCTTAAAACAATAATACTAGTATTTTTCATTCATTATTGTTTTGAAAAAAATTGAATCTTTAAATGTTTATATCTAAAAATAAAGAAAAAAAATTGTTTATATGTATATATATATAATATTGATGATATGCACGCATGTACGGGCACGATAACCAAAAATAAATTTATGCTGGAATAGTGTTACCGGTGTGTAGTGAGCGTGGCATGGGGTGGGGTGAATGCGTTACGACAGTCTTGTCTCAAGGCCATAGACGACGGGATACGTGAGAATAATAACGCGTGGCATGTGGAGAGTTACAAACAAACATACTTACATACATTCATACAGGTAAAAATAGTATAAGCATGTTAAAAATGAAACTCTTCCTGTATAGAGAAAAAGATAAATTTTAGTAAAGACAATTTTAAATCCCCCTGTGGGCAGATGAAGAGTCCGATTTTCAAAAAATGTATATCAAATAAAAGGTAACTATCTAAGAATTGAATATAAAAAAAACTATTTGGATTTATTAATTTTTGAAAAAGTTAAGGCAATTTTCAGAAAAAAAATGTCAATAATAACTAATTTTTTTAATTGAGAGCTGAGAAAGAGTAGCAACAGACACACACAAAAAAACACAACTTGGTAAAATAATATCTTTTCAGATATCCATCAAAATTAAAAATATTTTTAAAAGTTAAGTTGAAAAAGTTGAGTTTTGTAAAAAAGCTGCTACATTGAATCCTCTTTCGTGGGCAGATTATCAGATTATCAAAAATACTACATAAAATAAAAGGAAATACCTTTGGTTTTTATATAAAAAAAATGTTAGGAAAAATATGAAAAAAATGTCGAAATTTATCAATTTTAAAAATCGTACATTTTTGGGGGATCTTCACCATTTACGGAGAACTAGGACAAATTTTTCAATTTTTTTAGGTCAATGTCTTTAACTATGTACGATTTATGATCATTTGGTGTATCCCTGCGAATCTGTTCAGTGAGAGTTGAGAGTAAGTAGTGACAGACACAAAAAAATATAATGGTAAAAATAATATCTAATTAGCTTCGCATCGAAGCTAATAAAAAAATGTATGTATGTATATTACCACTTCTTACTATAATAATCTGAAATCATATTGATATCTAAATAAAAAAAAAAGTTATAGTAAATATTTTTAGTATTATTCAATAAATATAAATCAATTGAATTATTATTTACAATTCAAATCTTCAAGAAATTCATCAACTAAAAAAAATATATTTTATGAATAATTTTATATGTACAAAATTATATGCTTAAACTTAATTTTATTGAATTTTATTACCATGATTAACCTAATAAAAAAATAACTTTGTATGAATATTTCTGCAAATTTATAACATTTTTTCATTCTTCGATTTTGAAAAAGTTTCGGAAATTCTGACATCTTTAAATTGAGTCTTACTTATTTACTTTACTTTAATAGTAAACTTCCTTAAAGTTTATATAATAAACTTAACATTGAAATAAATTTTGTCTTCAAGAATTACTTTCTTTGTGTGGTCTTTAAGGTCAAGGAATAAAATACGATTTTTGTGTACAAATTGGAAAGTTACCTTACATAAATTGTTACAAAAAAATATATTCAAGAAGGGCATTTTTTACAAATTAGTGTCTAATCTATAGTTAAATGACGTGAAAAAAGGTATGCTGCAATCAATTGTATCAGCTACTATACCGTGTACTAGCATGGATAATAAATCTATATAGCATTCAATAGATAGTGAAGAATTAGAAAATTTAATGCAGCAGTCTAGCGCACCGAATAATATAGTCATATGGTACTGTATACTGTCGAATAAAGGCCAGTAAAAAATTATTTGAAGAAACGCTAAGTAGGGATGTCATGGGACGTTTCATTATGCACTTGCCGTTTAAAGAAAAGCAACAATATGTGAAATTTATAAGGGAATATGAGAATTTGAATTACATGAAAAGGGTAGATGTCGATCATCCGATAAACTGGGGAAAATATGTTATTTTTGTTAGTGTTGTTTACTCCACGAAAAAAAAACCAGTCACCGAATAAATGTCGCACTAGGTGTATTAACTAAAAATTAAAATTAAAATTCAATAAAATTTATTGTTTTGATTTAAAACATAATTGGCTCAGATTTTTTTTTCATTATAAGTAAATAGTCTACATTCGCAACACATCTTTAAATAAATTAATCTTAAATGGTATGTTATAATGTATATTTGTATTTCATAAAATTCTTAAATTTTCTATAGAAATTAAAAATATAATTATTTTACGTATAATTTAAAGTTCTTGAATCAAGTACTTACTTAGATCATGATAAATGATATTGACATCTAAACAAATATATAAACATTGAATTAGCGATTTTCAAACCTATTTTATGTATAATATTTCTATTTTTTATGACATCACTATACAATGTATAGTTTCGTTAAGTTCACTGAAAAAATAAAACTGGTAAAATTTGAGTAAGTCAACCTCTTCACGTGCCTCAAAGGGATTGAAGTTCTTCAAAAATGGGGTGGATTTTCTTTTTTTATATGTACGTTCTTTATTTTTGAAGTTTCGCCAAAAACACAAAGAACAATTTTTATAACTCATTGTTATGTCTGGTACAGATATATCACTATTCAAGCTTTTTAAAAATAACTGGAAAAATTTAGATTTAAATAATTTAAAAATATTTTCAAAAGTTCAAAAATCATATAAAAATTTAAAAGATGTGGCAGATGAAATAATTTTATATTGTACAGACAAACTTATAGATCATTATCCAAAAGATGATTATAAAAAGTTCATAGAATTAGTTTTGATATTTTTAGGAGGCATACCTTCAAATGAAATACGATTCTATCAATCTGGTGCTTACCATCTAGCGCGGTGGATGGCAAAGGCCATTTACTGCCTAAAAATTTTAATGTTTAGTGATAAGTTGAAAATTTCATCAAAAGAAGTAAATGCACTAGATGATATATGTTGTTTTGTAGTTGAATGTTATATTAAAATGTGGTTTTCAGCTGCGAATATTATAACAGCTCCTATAAATGACTTAATGTTTTTAAAAAATTTATTAAATTATAGTAATAATAAACTAGGAGAAATAGCTATAAAAAAATGTATAAACCATTTATGGTATTTAAATGATGAGTGTGCTGTGTTTTCTTTATTTGACGATCGACTTGACATTTATATTACAAATATAAAATTATATAATAATACTGCAAAATGTGTTAATTTCAAATTACTATATTTGTATTATAACCATTATTTTTGACTATTTTAGGTGGTTTTTATTTTTGAAGAACTTCAACCCCTTTGAGGCACGTGAAAGGGTTGACTTATTATACTCAAATTTTACCAGTTTCATTCTTTCAGTGAACCTAACGAAATTTTGAGCCCATGACTTTGAATTTATGAAGTTGAAAAATAAGGACCACCCTACTATACATAGATACCTACCATTCATTGTCAGTTATAATTTTATATATTAATATGTTTATGATAGTTTATAAGGCACAATCAGGCTGCATTAAGGAATTGTGCCACTTGGCGTACTCAATTATGTAAACCCCAATGTTCTGTTTTTTGCTCATAATAATTTTTTCTCTATTTATTTATACAAAAATATAAATAAAATCTTCAACTCTATAATTTATATAGAATCATATTTCAATGTCTTCATTAAAAACTACTGCCTGGTAAACTCGCTCACAATACTCCCTAAATATGACATTGGACATTATATTAATTGAACGTTGTATGGAAAATTAAAAAGCCATTTACTATTAAAAAAATTCAAACATATTATTTTATTCAAAATATGTGTTCCTATTTGAGAAAACAAAATTTCCATCATTGCAAGACATATGGGATGAACTTAATAAGTATTACATAAATAATATTTGAAGAATAAAATGTAACTAAAAGTATCTACATTTAACTTGAAAATTTTTAAGTTGAATTATTATAAAAAGAAGTAACCATATAAAATTTTGATACCCTTAATAACTATTAATTTACCTTTATTAAAAAAAAAATTTCGTACACATAAATTGATTTACAATTGGGTTTAGGCAATTGTGTTTTTGTCATACATAAATTTTTAAAAACATTGACTAAAAGTTTAGTCCATTATAAAATTAATTGATATGAGCTATATTGTTTATTTATTACTTATATCGATCTTATCTTCATGATTATATTACAAAATATAATTTAAATTGATTATTTGAAGAAAAGAGTTTTGTCGATGATAAAAAACGACGTTATAAACTTTCAAAAATTCTGAAACATTTGCCATAGCTCAACATTTCAGCATAAATATCATTACACAATTTTAATTTTTACGAATTTTATGCATCTCTCCCAATACAAAACTTTGATAACGCCACTGCTTTCATAGTATTACGTAACTATCAATTTTAAAATGTAATTATTAAGTTAAGTTAAATACCATTTTATTGGAAGTATAAAACCCATTCCTGTTTTTATTTATTTATAAATACATGTATATGTATATGTATGTATATATTAATTAGTATACTTATAATTATAAATAACATTTTATTGTACTAATTAACGTTTATAATCGTTTCAATAAAAAGTATCTTAAGGCAGTGTAACAGAAAAAAGACATAAAAATTAAAAATGAAATAATAAACACATCGTAGAATAATACCTTCTGAGCAATGCATCGAAGCTAAAATTTAACCCGTATATATTTTTAAACAATTAATTTTTACATAAGAAAATATCGTTAAAAAAATGAACAAAATAAATACCAAATAAAACTTCAAATATTAGTGAAAATTTTATATCAATCATTATTTTTTTATAAAATACTGATAATACAAAATGAATACAAAATACAAAGTGAACATGAAATTATACTTTTTTATAGTTAAATCGACAATGTTGGGATGAAAACATTATATTATTAGCGTTTCAAACAAAATTTTTAGCGAACTTTAATCGAAAAATAAAACTGAAAAATAACATATTTTATTAATAAGGTAAAAAAATTATTTTTTTTGTTAAAATAGCATATTTATATTTGAAAATATTATATAGACTCCAGCGCCTTATTTGAACTTCTATGATACTGAATTATGTAAAAAATATTAATATCATTATTTTAATAAAAAATTTAACTATACATAATATACAAAATCAATTTTTGAGTCTTACACTAAAAATAAATAGTTATAAAATGTATCATTATATTTCCATATATTATTAATATACCTGTTGGAATGTCAGGGTTAGCATATACATGATTGCATAAAGGACAACGGTATATTCTCTTATCAAATTTCCAAGTATCAATACAACCTTTGCAAAATTTATGTGAACAGACTCCTATTGATGTATCTGGATTATTATCCCAACAGACGGAACATGTCTCTAAACAAAGTGATATTTTAGTTTAATACAAATTTGTTTACACAAAATTATGAACTTATCTTAGGTGTTGGCATTAGGCGATTGGAGTATCTTTTAAATATAATCTTATTAGATGGGGAAATCCCAAATGAATTGAGATATAGTATTTTGGTGACGATATTTAAACGTATAGGAGTCGTACAGGTGTGTGGAAAGTATAGAGGTATAAAGCTTATGAGTCATAGTATGAAAATTTGGGAAAAGGTAATAGATAAGAGAATAAGAAATGATACATCGGTATCTAAAAACCAGTTTAAATTTATGCCTGGTAAATCAACAATGGAGCCAGTATTTTGTGTGAGGCATCTAATAGAAAAGTTTAGGGAAAAGAAGAAAAACCTCTGTATGGTATTTATAGATTTAGAGAAAGCGTATGATAGAGAACCGAGATAGGTTTTAAAGTGAGCATTAATGAGAAAAGGTTTGCCGAAAAGGTACATCGATATAATAAAAGATATGTATGATGGCACTCTTACCAGAGTTAAAAGTGTAGGAGGGGTAACAGAAGGTTTTAGAGTAAAAGTAGAAGTGCACTAGGGTTCTGCTTTAAGTCTTAACTTATTTTCTATAGTAATGGATAAAATTTCTATAAAAATACAAGGAGGGGTGCAGTGATGCATGTTGTTTGCTGACGATATAGTGTTAATAGGAGAAAATAGGGAGGAAATTAGTCAAAGGCTAGGGGTGTGGAGATGAGCTCTTGAAAAAAAGGGTTTAAGAATAAGTAGAAGTAAGACAGAGTATATAGAGTATGAGTTTGACAAAGAAGAACACGAGGTAGATGAAATGAGGAGGTCAACGACAATAGGCGAAGACGTGATTGGAGAGGTGGAGAGTTTTAAGTATTTAGGGTCAGTTTTAATAAACGAATAATTCAACATTTTAATAATCATAAATGTAATTTGAAATTTTGTTTTAGATTTAACTTACGTGTTTCATTTTGGTTATTAGCTGATATATCATCTGCTTACAAAACACATAAACAGTTATACATACAGAGTGACTGGTAAATTATAAACCAATTGTTACTTTCAAAATAAATACAATAATAGAATAATTTTTTTTTTTTTAGTTACGTAAATTTCTTGATTTATTGTCTATAATTTGCAATTTAAAATCATCCCTTTAATTTATAGGAATGACATCAGTATTTTTTCAAATGGTAACACTTATAATTTACTATCTTATTTAATATTTAATGATGTAATAATGATATTCTTATTTGTATACTATGGTGTTGAAACCTCTATTGAAAAATGTTTAAAATCAGAGCACACTAAATAATTATCCGAGAAAAGTTTTTTTTCTTTGTAATAGAACAAGAAAAAAAAGGATATAATAAGATATGTATAAGTGTACACATAATACATTAATATATATATAATTATGTATTTTTCTATTATAAAAATAAATTTTATTTTTCTGTACAGTTTATTCTATCACATTTTGGTATGTTGTAGCAATTATTGAGAATTAAGAATTGTTAGTTAAAAGGATGGAAAACGTGAAACCTAAGTAACACTTAATCTTATTTAGTCTAAGTGTTATTCAAGACGAAGCTCAACAGAATAATATTTTTATTTAATTCCTATCTACTATTCCATTTAAATTCCAAATTATATTTTTATTGATTTAAACATTTGATTAAGGTTTAACTTACTTTCTTCGTTTAGATTATCGCCTGGGACACCATATGATTTCAAACATAAGAACAAATAAATATATTTATGTATAAACTTATAATCATATGTTTTTTAATTTGAAAAATATATTTTAATAATATTTATCGACATATAAACCATATGATCGAAGAGACACTAAATAATCGGTACAGCTTTCCTAGACTCCCTATATTAATTATTTAAAGATTTGTTCAAATTCAAAAATAAAATTACACAAAATTTTAATTATTTCTTATGTAGATTTACTGTCCGCTAATGGACATTTTTATAGGAGTATGTCATAAAAATAGCACTTGAATTCTATATTAAAATATACAGTTACTTAAGTTTCAACTTACGTTGTTCATTTTGAACATCGCAATTAATACCACATGCTATCAAAATAGATATATAAAATATTATTATTTATTCTATCCTATCGTTCAATAATAGATTTAATTAGATAGCTATTTATTATATCATACATTTCTTATTGTGTATTGTGTATTATAACGACACTACACGTAAAAATAAATCGTTATAAAAAATGATACTGAATTTGTGACTGTGTACAACACCTGGAGACATGTCTCATCGCGCAACAATATTTTTAACACGCTTATATTAGTTTCACCTGTATGTATGTATGTATGTATGTATGTATGTAACTCTCCAAACGCCACGCGTTATCGCATATTCCGTCGTCTAGACTAGACTGTCATAACGCATTCACCCCTCCCCACGCCACGCTCTCCACACGACGGCACACTATTCCTATAAAATATTTTTTTTTAGTTATCGTACCCGTACACGCGTGCTTGTCATCAATATTATATATATATAAACAAATTTTTATTTTGACTGACCAATACCACCCGCGTCTAATGCGCCTTACGTATATATATTTATATATTCCTACCACCGTTTATACCTCAGGTATAACGTTAGTCCGACCCGCCCACCCACAAAATACGGTTATACCTAGTGCATGATACGTTTACGTACTTAAGTCGCTTTACTTGTATATATATATACTAATTACTATTAAAATTTATTTATTAACATGCTTTATTTTAATTAAGAGATATAAGGTATTCATTCCGATTACGAGGGATGATTTCCGCATCGTCATTTTTCGTCACTATCTCCACGTTCCAGGAGTGAGTAATTTACGCGCCTGCTGCTTTCTTTGGATGTGGTAGCCGTTTCTCAGACTCCCTCCCCGGAATCGAACCCTGATTTCCCGTTACCCGTTACAACCATGATATTGATAGTAACTACTATCATAACATAAAACTAAAAAGTGATAAATAAATATAGTTTAAAAAAACTAAAAAAACACGCTTTTAAAGCACATCGAACTAAAAAGTTAAAAATAATTTTTAAAATAAGTTTAAAATAATTATGAACAAAAAATACTAGTATTATTGTGATAAAAGCGTGGGTGCTTTGTGCCATATTTTTCGTATATTGAGCGCCCGACGCTTTTATCACAATAATACAAGTATTTTTTATTCATAATTATTTTAAACATATTTTAAAAATTATTTTTAACTTTTTAGTTCGATGTGTTTTAAAAGCGTGTTTTTTTAGTTTTTTTAAACTATATTTATTTCAATCTTACTACACACCATACCAAGGAAAATGAGACAAATTTTACTGAAATATCTACGATGAACACTGCTGGCTCTCATGGTCTTTAATTACTTTACTCTGTGAAACATGAATATAATTCATTGAAAAGTATAATATTTTTATGAGATAAATACTATGAAATTCATTTTTCTACCGTATTTTAAATGGGTAGACATTATCTTCTATAACTCTGCGCCACTAAAATTTTTTACTCTGAATTACGAAAACTACATTTCTTTTTCTAAAATAATACTAGTGCTTATAACTCTTGTTCGCATAAGAAATATTTAATGTTTCTGTTGGTAGCTTAAATATTTTATAGCAAACTAAAAACATTCTATTTTAGCTAACAATGTGAGCTGTATTTTTACGATAAGACTTTACATTTTTCATATAAATAAAACGTTACGTACACAAGACTTATAATTCGGTATCTGTTTTTCGACTGACTACTAACAAAAGAGGCTTACGACACACTACTTCCTGTCTACTCAATAATAATATAGATCTTGTATCCTCAATATCAACCAATTTTAATAGTCATAAATATAATTTGAAATGAATGATTAAGTTTTAACTTACGTTTTTCATTTTGGTTATCGGCTAGGATACCATCTGCTTACAAAATATAAAAAATAATATATAGANAGGATACCATCTGCTTAAAAAATATAAAAAATAATATATAGAGAGTGATGAATTTATTATAAACCTTTCCATTATTCGCAAAATAAGTATAATAATAGAAAAAAATGTTTATTTAATTTTAGTAACATATATTTTTTTATTTAATAGCTATAAATTACTTTTTGAAATTAGCCTTTATAAATTAAAGAGATGTCATCTTAATTTTTTTCAAAAATGGCAAAATATATAATTTACTAGCTTCTTTAACAAATTATGATGAAATATGAAGAGGAATAGTAAATAAAAACTTTCGGGCCAGTATTACGAAGATATTCTCATTTTTAATCTTTGCTGAGTAGAAGTATACGGCCGAGAAATGACTAAGACTAAAAATATTATCACCTTCTCATCACAACGGGACAGAAATATAATTTTTTAATAACTATAATCATTTTATGAATTAAATCATTATCATTAAAAAAGCTAGTCAATTATGTACGTTTCCATTTCAAAAAAAAGTTAACACCCCTATTATAAGGGACGATTCTAAAAGGTAATTATTAGCTGATAAATCAAGAAATATATGTAAATGAAAACAGCAAAATTTTCTTTTCAATATTGTATTTATTTTGAGAATAATCGAGTGGTTTATTATAAAACGATCGCTCTGTATATCTATATATATATATATAGATATACACAATATTAAATATATATTTTTATATATTTATTAATGTATAAAAATATATTTTCTTTGATTGTAGCCTATACTCTATGACATTTCTGTATTTATATCTTGTTCACTACATAGACACAAGTAAAATAAAACAAAAAGTATGGAATGGGTGGAGACTAGTTGTACTAAAACATCATCACCTGTATAACACGATCTGCAAGAAAAAGACTAGGATCGTAATTATAATAATAATGATCAATTTTACACACTTCTATTTCCAAAATTAACATGCCAGAGAGGGAGATAGCCCTCTTTCATATTTTAGGCAGTAAAAGATGTTTCTTGGCTAGGTAAATGATGAACAGAGCGGCTATTATGGTCGGCTTACACCCTCGACCAGACACCATCAATTAGAAAATAACAAGAATAATCTCAGTGGCACCCTGAGGATCGAACCCCGTACACCCAAACATAGTGTAGTGATTATGTAATGATCGAGAATCTTCGCGACGGATAGGAAACACAAAATGCATATACGCGCGAATGTTCTCGATCGATCCGTAAGAGAATCTTCTAGAACTCAACACAATATAAAAAGGCGTGACGTAACAATAACGTCTATCAGTTAGTTAACCAGTCGTCAGTTAATCGGTTAAGTAGTTAAGTACACATAGTGCATTAATATAATTTTCTTAGTGTTTAAGCAATAAACCGTTTATATTTTTTCTGCTATATAAATTAGTGTTTTTATTTATTTTAAATCAATAAGTGAAGCACCAAACATACGTTTCTACCCACTAAGCCCAGTCGTCCTATTGAAATTTAAAATAAAGTATTTGTAATGTCGTAGCATGAATCATAAGGTCGAAGAGACTCTAAAAAAGTGTTACATGCTTTCTTAGACTCCCTAAATTAATAATATAAAGATTTGTTCAAATTTAAAAATAAAACTATACAAAATATTTTTTATCAAAATATCACAAATCGTATCTAGTTGAAGACATTACCCTTAAAAATTGAAAAATTTTCCCTCGTTCCCCGCAAATGAGGGAAATATCCAAAAAAATTACAAATTTAAAAATCAGTAAATTTTGTCATTTTTTTCACTTTTTTTCTTAAAACTTCCATAACTTTTTCAAATATAAACAAATCAATATAAATTTTTTTTAAACTAAAACCTTAGATATTTTCCTTTCATTTGATATCATTTTTTTGAAAATCTAACTCTTAACTTGCTGATTGGGGGGGATTTAAAATATTAACTTTTTTAAAAAACTAACTTTTTCAACTTAATTTTTGAAAATGTTCCGGAAATACTGCGTCCTTTAAACATATATCAAATTAAAGCTTATTTTATGTACTATAAAATGAAAAAAAAAATTTGTACCGACGACCTATTTTCTATGCGCAAATGGCTACCGTATTCAAAAAATATGCTATTTTTGTGTTAAAATCCTGGGTTTTGTATTTTATTTTTTTTTAAATATCTCATAAGGGCAATACACTGACTTTCATGAATATTTTATAATTTAATTGACATAGAATAAAGTTTATAAGACATAAGAAAGTAAACTTATTAAAAATTTTTATTTTTTTCAAGTCGAAATAGTAATTTTTAAATTTGAGTTAGCTTAAATAGCCAATTTTATCAACTTTTGTTGACAGTTGCCGAATCGGTAACACTTGTATCTTTCATGCTAATGGTACCAGGTTCAAATCCCTCGGTTCATATCAATATTTTGCATTTTTTTTAATTACAATAAAATTTTCAAATCATTTGATATTTATCTCACTTAGATTCAATAACTTCACTAAATATAAAGGATCCTATCACTATAGTGTCCCCTCGTGAAAAGAAATTTATATTCATGTTATTATTATTTTACTATGTGGTTCTTTTTGTGGATACGATTTATTTTGCCAACCCTCACTAGACCTACTTTTTTCAACGATACGTCAAATGATTAATTTAAGTTTATGATATTTAAGTTATTACTCTTAAAAATCGAAAAAATATTCCTTATTCAAATAAAAAATAGCTTAAGCAGCTTTTTCTATACAAACAATTAAAATATTCTTAAAGTATTTATTGTCAAATTAGATTTGATATGTTAAAAGTATTCAACTAAAAAAGTAAATAATTTTACTTTGTAATTTATTCATTTTTAGCTTCGATGCGAAGCTGAGAAGGTATTGGTTTTACTAAGATGTGTTTTTTTTTTTTTTTTTTT